GACTGGGGGAGGAGAGACGGAGTGAGGCATCTAGGGGCGGAACGAGAGATTGCGAAAGAGAGAGACGGAGAAGGGAAGGATGGGAAACGCAGGGGAGATGGTAAACCGAGGCAGAGAAAGACGGGCAAAAAACCACCTTTGGGACCGCGGTTGAGCCTAAGGCTCTACGCCTTTCAGCGCGATCCGCTCAGGTGTCCCCAGGCCCCTTGCTGTGTCGGGGTCCCAAGACAAAACCAAACCGCCTTGCAGAATTGTAGGCAACGGGATAACATTAACAACACACACGTACCTGGGCAATGTTATCCACAGACGAGTCGCCATCGGGCCCGGTCGTTGTCGGGGAGGCGGACTCGGGCGCCTTGGACGTTGGGGCCATGTTCGGAAGATGGTGATGAGCGGGCGAATCAAAAGGGTGAGAAAATAAAAAGCTGCCCTGAGAAAAACAAAAGGGGAGAAGATAGTGGCCTGATTTGGGGGTCTTAATGGGAGGGGTCGCCCTCTTTTTTTAATCCTCCACCGATCCAACCCTTTGTCGATATCGTGGATTGCCCGTTCCCGTACCCTGGTATGCGTGTCGTAATGGTGGGAAATGCGGATACTAGGCGTCTTTTTTTGCGCCGCCTTCTCGTGATGTTTTGCCGTTGACGAGTCGTCAATACGCTGTTGAATACTTGGTAATACTTTTGTTGTAGCTTTGTTAGTGATTTGCTCTGGCCAAGGTAGGGCGACAAGCGTGCGTGGATTCCCGGCCTGGGGGACCGGTTCTTCTCTGGGTGGCTCAGCGTACCAGATGACCCGGAATTCGGTAATGCCGAATGAAAGGCGATAATTCGGTGTCGTGTGTCAGGGGATAGATGATATTGAATGTTCCTGGGATGGATGTATGGGATTTTGTAGTGTAGGGTCTCGAGACGTCCGTAGATTCAACGGCGTGTCGTCGATAGGCGGCAGAAACACGCGGTCACTCGAACCCCTCACACTCACCTGGGAAAGACGCACGGTGCCCAAGGCTTACCTAATCACGAGCGTTACGGGCCTACGAGAACTAGAGAAACTCACAGTCTCTTCACGCTGCGCTTGTTAGACATTGAACTCTCTGCCAATCACAACGTCACCCGGTGGCCCAGATCGTCTAGTTGGTTAGGATGATACGTTGTGGTTCTTCTATACAGCGATCCGTGTTGACGGCGGTTCGAATCCGCCTCTGGGCACTAATACTTTTGCTGGATGGCTCTTCGTGGACTTAAACATCGCTGTTCAGCCTCAACTTTTGCTAACCACAGCGAGGAGGTTGCCCAGTGTATGGGAAACGAGTAAGTAGCGTCGCAATGTGGTATCACGATCATGTCTACATCGCAATGACCCGTGCATCTTCGGATGCGTTGTTACTACAACAGTACTACCTGGGGCACAGGTGCGAAATAATAGTGCGAGGGTTGTCAAACTATCGCGGTAATTTCGGCCTGATTGTCCCCAAATCGAACATGGTCAATATGACTGTCGGTGCCTTGATCTTGAGCCGGGAATACCATTTCCGTCCTCGTGATGATGGGAAGTCGACTTTTGATTCCGATTCCATTACAGAATGCAGATTCATCCCACCCGTGGCCCACTCAATATTGGGGGGTGCACCGCCGCACCGTTGGCAAGAAAGTATCGTTGCCAAGCTAAGCTTCGGGAACCAGGTTGATTGATTTGATCCGAAGCGTGCTGTTGCCTGCAAGCTGCCCCCCTCCTAACGTCCTCCATACGCAAAACCTGGAAACCTGCCGACAGGTTACCACTGCAGAATCAAAGCAGGGCCGATGCAGCCAGAAAGCCAGAGGGTCGTGTTATATTGAACTGGGCAGCTGGTAGCGGGAAATTCTTCCAGACTTATGCTTGTGGCTGCCATGGTTTGCTTCACTTTCGAATGGGATGGTACCTTGCGATGGGAGGCAGGTAGGAAGGCACGGACAGGCCTTGAACAGACATATTGTTCGAGGCCCGTGTGAGTCAGAGAGGATCTTGACATCCATTTGCAATGTTGTTACGGTAGATGGAATTCCAATTCCGGCTCTCCTGCCGATATTCAGTAGACGGACGTGAAAGGCGGGTTCGATGGTTGACAGCTCGCCCGTGAGTTGTTGTTGTTGTTTCTTCTTCGTAGACATGACTGGGGAAAGTGAGGTCATCCCTCTACCTTACTTTCCGTCCCTACTACGATAGCATTAGATAACCATGGGGCAAGCAGGGCGAGTGAAGAAAGGATGGGATGCTGAGCCATAGCTTGGGTTCCCCCGTTGCAAGTACAGCACTGAGTCTGTTGTCTTCACAAAGCTACCCGAGTATTTGTACCTGATGTAGGTACCTCACGTCACCTTATGGAATGCGGCAGGTGGCTGTACAGTCAAAGGTCTCGAGGTACCGCCTACTTCGCAGGAAGTGTCCTGGCGCTAACCCCACTTGGGCGCGGTGGACCGCACCGGAAACTGTCAACATTCCCTTCCTAAACCCCCTACAGGCACTCGCTGCGCTGGGAAAGAACCCCCAACTAGCTTTTCCGGGTGTTCCTTCTTTCTTTTTCTTTTTTTCGATGGCGCCGCACACTTCCAGATGCCAACCAAAACCCCATCCCATCCCGATCGGACTTTTGCAGTGTCTGATCAGTAAAAAAACAATGACATCGGATCCCAAATACCCAAACCCAGTGCTTTCTGACGCACTGGCGGCGGTCCAATCTCTCTCACTCTTGGTGGCATTTTGCTCAATCTCGATGACTGGGAAATGGGCGTTCGCGATCGAGATGTTGGAATTCACCGTGTCGCAGTCAATGGAACCTTGTTCGCACACCCATCATCACAACCCTCAAATGATCCCATCCCTCTGTCCATCCATGTGCCCTCCTCCGTAACTTACGGTTCCGCCCTGGATGAGTTCAGCCAAATCCAGTCCCGTCTCGTTCCTTGCTTTGCTCGCTCACTGCAAAGTCATGCTTTTGTGCGCCTGCGCCTACGTTACGCTTGTATGGACAGTCTTGTACAGATACACTTGTACCTAGTAGAAGTCTAGACCCTCTCGCCAACCAGCGTGCCAGCAGCCCAGTGTCTGGGCATGCCCGCGCAAGAACAGCATCAGCCCTGTCGCCTTTGCTTCCCATGGTGATCGTATGTGCCGTCTGCGATCGTATGCTCGAATGCCCAGTGACGATATCCCTCAACCAGACCTGCAGGCAATGCACAAACATCGACGATTCCCTTCCCCTTCGCGCGCAAGACTGTCTTGTCTTCTCCTACCTCTTCCCAGTCTCTCACGCCCACAGTATCCGTTCTCTCGGTGTCTAGACCAGCCGGTGGCTACTGTCAGCCCATTTGCTGCCCGCTAATCTTCAGATTCGTATCTTCGATGAAACTTTGGCCCATGAGCTCCTTACAGTTTGTTGCAACTTATCGTCATTCGGCGACGTAGAAGGGATCCAACAAGATCCAGTTGGTCCGAGGTTGTCGGTTCCGCAAACCTCGTGCTGCATCAAATCTACGTCACGGCGGGACGTCCATATCGAAGGTTGGGTCGGGAGGTGACTAGCGCGTCGATGCTCTGTAACACTGCCATTAGGCATGTAGGTAGCACGTTCCACGGCGAAACCCTCCGTCGTCCATTGGAGCACACGGATAGATCAACGCCCTCCGCAGCGGGAGCCCATGGCCATGTCGTGTTCTCCGTATGGAAATTTGAAGAGGTGAGATAATTATTCGTGCCGGTGCGAGTGCTGGCCATGGGTATTAGCATATTGAAACAAGATATCCGTACTCCGTTGAGTCCGTACTTCGTGCTGCTATTTCAGAACCCTCAATTTACCAGCTTCTATCACCTTTCAACATCGCAACACGGACCACGTCGATCCAGTCAATGCTCCGTCGTCGACAAGCTTGAATATGGCCATGGGTGTTGTTTTCTGATGGTCTGGCGCGTTTTCGCGTATTTGGTGCTGCAGCGTGCTACTAACGGGGTGCGGAATGGCCTAGATCGTGTTGGCACCATGGGCGGGTTCAGTCTGGCGACGCTGGACCGGTCCATGATCCTAATCCGTGCTGACCAGCTCTCGCAAAGCATTGTTTGATGCATTTCTCTCGTTCCAGTGCCCCGTCAAAAGGGTCTGTCTGCATGCGCCTAGATGCCGTGCCAATCCTGCTCGCCGTCGGTTTGTCCAGCTTCATTCAGATGGTCCGAGTTCCAGAACGCTCTTAATGGACGGTGGAGCCGGTAACAACCCAGAAGTGAAGGCACATGTGCTCTCAGCCTCACTTTGCCACCCGTCACCTAAATGCCATATCGAGCCGAATGCACAATCTCCAGACTGACGATGGCTTTCGTCGTTTACCCCTCCGCCACATAACGACATTTCGGTTAAACGGGAGACAATTCAGTTGCTTGCTAGGTCAGCCGACGGCGAAGTTGCCCCTTGTGTCGGTTCAGAGTTACACGGCATGTTGTGTCATCAGTAATCGCATTGCGAAAATGCGATTCTTCTGCAAATTCGGTGATATGTCTGTCGTATCTGTCTACCAGCAAGACGCATCGCACCGGCACCAAGCTGATCCCCCCTGATGGCCTTTGCTCTGGGTCTAATGGATCGTAGATCGAAGGTCGCTGTGTTCTGGCGCCCACGGCCGTGACGAAACGGCTTCTCGTCCTGGATCGACTTCTGGATGATCGATCATCGAAACATTGCCATGTCGTTTATGTGGACATTTCCTTCCGGTATTCGTATAACCACTAGGGTTGTTCCATAATGTGCAGATGGACATTTGCGAGGTGAACGGAGACGTCAACGCAATTATTACGTCGTCCTAGGTCGCGGTCTGTTGTCTCACCCGCACCGTGCTTTGGGACAACTACCTATGGACGAGGTGCGTTCCTCAACCGTGGCCCGTGGTGGCCAGATTCATCCGCGTGAGCGTGTGTAGCAGGGGTGGTAGCGGCTTTCGATCGCGGCGCAATTCTTCGATTTCAGGTGTCTTTCAATCCTTGGTGCAATGCTCCGTCTCCCCGCGCGGAGGCGTGTGAATAGCCATCTCTGGCGGTTCAAGCCAGTCTGACTGGCTGCTCGAACGCTGACACGTCGAGAAGCGCGAGCTGGCTTGTCTGAGAAACACACTGATGAGCGTGGAGGTGGAATCGACATCGAGATTCACTTTGACGGCCTGGTCTTGATTGGAGAGCAGGCAATGGAACAGTGACTTGATCGCAGGGCTGTTTATAGGGTCAGGCGCAGTTCCGTCAACAAGAATCGAATTCGCGCTGTTTGGCCATTGTCCCAAGCAGTTCTGGCATGCGAATGATAATGCAGCAATTGGCTGTTTACTGCTTGCATTGAGGGCGAGGTTCTCACTCTCCTGGCCGAATGTTCGACGGGCGGTATTCCGCGACCCAAATGACGATGTTCGGTCCCCGCTCTCTTTTTGGAGAGGAAGAAGAAGAAGAATGCTGGCCAGGAGCCAGCGGCATGACCCGCGACGGTCTCGAAGGGCCCGTTGCCAAATTGGAGTACTATCCAGATGCAGATGCCGTCTTGAATCTAGGGTCAGCACTGGTTTTTCAATAGTGGCTGTTTTGGTATCGTGTGTTCTACTAAGTGGTGAGAGTCTAGATAGTGTGCAGGTACGGCTTGGGAATGTTCTGTCGAGGCGAGGCGTGTCATGATGCCGCTCCCGCTACCGCACTTGCAGTCAGTCGAGTTACGGAGCGGATTCCGTTCATGAGAGAGAGAGAGAGTGGTGCTGGCGCATCAGAGTCTAGCGTGTCTGCTATGTCTGTGTGGTGCGAAGGTAAGGTACCTTGCCTGGAGGTGTATGCAGGTTGTCGAGGGGAGTGATTTTTGAGTGGATGGATGATGGATGAACACCCACCCCCCCTCTCTTTCTTAGTCTCTACCTTACCTACCAGCCAGTGGGCAGTGGCCCAGGGCCACTAGCACTCTTTCCAGTTCCGTACCCATGTGTGATCCCGGCCTGAGGCCTCAAGTTTGGTGGGTGCCTTGGGCTTAACGGGGAAAGAGAGAGGCACTGAAGTACCTACGTAAGGTACTTCGTATCTAGGGTACCTTACTTTCTACCCTGTAGTCCTGGGAGAGTGAGGCAAAGATGGAAGGGATGGAGACATGGTCCAGGTACGGATTTCATGTACCGGTACAGGATTTGCATGTATCCCGAAGGCCCATCTCAAGCGGCCGTTTCCTGTTCCTGACTCGCTGAGAACCCATGTCTTTTCATGTCTTCCAAAAGGGCTCCATATGTGTCTGTCCTTGTGCTTGATCCCGCTTTTCTTTGCGATGGGCTTCCAGTAACAGATGCTCACTGTTGCTATCGCCGACTTCTCGAAAGTCGGTTTCTGCGATCAGACGCCAGGGAGCTTGTCCTGGGTACCTTGAGCTATCCATCAGTCTGCTGCTCTAGCTTCTCTACTTGGGGCTTGGGGCCATTGGACATGCCACCCCGGATCACAAGTCGAGTCTGCGGCGACGTCTGAGGCTACCAGTATCCGTACCTAGACTCACTACCTTACCTTACCTTACCTTACGGTCGACCATTCAACACACACCCACCCTCGAGAGAGATTCCCTATTGACACCTCTGACCTCACCTCTTAATCCGCGTCGATCACCGCGGGGCTAGTTCTTCTCAATCTTCGAACCGTTTACCTCGCCCTTCCTCCGTACCATACTGGCATCCATCCGTACCTTACCTTGCCTTCCACCCCTTGGCTCACCAAACTCGTTTTCTCCTCTCCGTCTCAGTAGACGGTCATCCCCCCAGTTCTTCTTCACCGTTCCCAATTCTCAACCCGTGCAAAGGAAGACGACAAAAAAAAAAGACTTTGCCGGCTTGGTCACTTTCTCCCAAACCTAACCCCCTTCTTCGATCAAACAAACTTGGTCCAGTCTTCATCACTCCCACCAAAGACGCGCGCTACTTTCCTCTACCAGACCAGACCATCTATCCGTTGTCTTCCCCGTCGTTCATGCGGCTGCGAACCGCCGAGCCGGCTCAGAAAAACGCATTCTCATAAAGTACGTATTCTATCCAGAGCGCACATCCCATTTCATCTGAATCCCGAAGCCCCTCTTTGCTTGGTCTGGTACTTGCCGTTGTCCCACACCCCAAAAGCTCGGTCTCCTTCAATGTCATCGAGATCCGTCCTCCATATGGCAGCCACCAACTTGGTATATCCACGCCATGCGTGCCACACGCCTTCCTCTTCTGCAATTACTTATCATCAACGCCCCAAGCAGACGTAGAATTCGCCCAGCAATCGAATACTTTCGGAATTACTTCAACAACATCGCTCTTGGATCGACTTGCTCAGTATCGAAAACGACGAGAAAACGATCATCGCCGACCGACACTCAGTATTCGATACAGACGCCGCCTGTCGCTGCCCATCCGCCGCGACTCGATTGAGAAGAAAGCCTTCGATGATTATTGGTTGACCGCAACGCAAAAGGAAGTGTTTCGACTTCGAGCGACGGAAATCGAGACGTAGCGAATCGAGTCGACGACTGAATGAAAGAGTTTGGGTTTCGAGAAGGATTTGAACGAAAAGCGGCAAACAGTGAAAGCCAATTCTTTGGAGATCACTTTCGACGTAGAAGAAGTTCGCAAACCATCGCCCTACCGTCCCGTAACAACAGCACCATCGAGTTGACGTAACTTGATATACGCCACTCAGATAAACCATGGCGCAAGGACTGGATGGAATCTTTGCAGAGCTAGGCATCTCGCAGTACCTAGACATCTTTCTCGAGCAAGGATTCGATACGTGGGAGACGATTTTGGACATTACTGAGTCTGACCTGTGAGTAAACCATGGCTATTGCCACGCCACATACTCGAGACTAACGAGGATAATTTTGCAGCGACGCACTTGGAGTCAAGTTAGGACACCGACGTGTAAGTGCTTGACGTCCATTCGCAACCCCTACAAGCCCTAACACAAGGCAGAAATTGCAGAGACGCATCGCCAACTCTCGTGGCCTTGCCCCGGATGCATCACTAGTTTCGCCCACAAGAGCAAGCGCAGAAGAGCCAAAGCCCGAGACACAACGACCTGATCAACCCCGCCTCGAGGTCAAGGAGGGACCCGTTGCCACGAAACGAAAGTATAGGCGTCACCCCAAGGTTTGTAACTCTCATGCAGATGTACACTCGTACCTGGGCGTAGCTAACCAACGTAGCCTGATGAAAATGCCCCTGAGAGACCTCCTTCGGCCTATGTCCTTTTTTCAAACAGTATGTTATGGATTCCACCCTGCTTTGAGATGATGGAACATATCTGATCAATCTCGCAGAGATGCGTGATGACCTCAAAGGTCGGAACTTGACATTTACCGAGATAGCCAAGCTTGTGGGAGAGCACTGGCAAAACTTAACTCCCGGCGAGAAGGAGCCATACGAAACTTCCGCATTGAAAGCCAAGGAGAAATACAACCACGACTTGGCTGAGTATAAGAAGACGACAGAGTATAGGAAATACAACCTGTACTTACAAGATTTCAAGGCACGGCAAGCCTCCGCAAATCAAGGTGCGTGGAGGTTTGTCGCTTCGAGTGGCCGCCAAGCTGACCCTGATCCAGCAAAAGAGTCGTCGAAACGTCAGAAGCTTGATTCGGGGGTTCGTCTGCAAAACGGAGGAAGCGCAAGTGCCACACCTGGGAGTCTCAGTAGCACGGGGAGTGGTACAGAGTCTCACCAGGGAAGCGAACCTCCTCCTAATCGCAAACAGCGTGTGGGTTCTGTGGTGTCGGTATCTGAATCGCAATACTCGACGGCCGTGCCGACCCCAATTTCCCATCATCATCATCCCCCCAATGATGATTCGGTACACTCTCCTGCCAGTGTACAATTCGATCGTGAGAGCTTGCACTCCACAAGTCCCCGTACCTCGCAGACTCGGAACCACCGCCCAACATGGACGGAAGCCCCAGCAAAAACGGAGCCAGTCACACTTCCGCATCTTCCTTCCCTCTCGGATGTGTTCAACAATGGACGAGGACTGAACGGGGTTTCAAGGTCTCCTGAGGCAAATGGCTTTGGGGGCTTCGCGCCTCCGACACACCCTGGTCCCTCCGCACCGCCATCATTGAAGCACGAATATTCTTCCGCGGGAAGCATTTCATCCTCTGGATCTGGACTGTCGTATCCCCGAACACCTAGTGAATCTTCGCTACCGATTCACGCCTTATTATCGAACAAGACCTTGCCGGGACCTACTTTCGAGTTGCAACCATCCCCGTTCTCGACGGTGCCGCCTTCCGGACCACAACCGCTCCAGGATTCAAAGTTGCCCTATGCAGGGCAGCCTCAAGCTCCGATGGGAGCGACGAATGGTACTCACGGTCAAACCAAGCAAGGCTTTCCGCAGAGGCTAATGAGGTTTCAAGGTTACCAATCACCACCTGCCTTATTGAGATTCCAGTCCACCTCGTCAACGGGGACTGATGGATCGAACGTGTCGCAAGCATCATCGGGTGCTTCTTCTGCAACGTCGCTCGGGGTTCAAGAGAGGAGCGATCCGAAGCTCGACGGCATGAGCGCGTTGGTGCGGGCGGGCGAGATCGTGAACCGTCGTGTTCAATAAGCGGATGCGAGTTTTGACATATGGCCGGCAATCATCGTTCTCCATCCACTCTTTGGATTTACAAACTGTTGACGTCGGCCCCGAGTACAGTCTCGTGCGTTTGATTGTTGTTTTATTCGGTTGTTTGTTTCGTCGTCGTTGATGGCATCAGCGTTTCGCTCAAGTCTAGCCTGGTTGGCTGAGGTCGGTCTGTTTGATTACTTGAATACCCTCATGGATTGGCATCGTTTGGAGATCTTGTTCGAGGTGGCGCAACTGGACAGTGATGGCGTTTTTTTTTGTCCCGTTGGACGTGGCATTTGTTTGTCGTCCAAATGGCGTTGTAAGCTGCGTCGCGTGGCCAGGCGATGGGTAACTTTTGGATATAGGTTGTTGGTGGGTACTGCATGATACAAAAGCTCTCTGGTCGCTCGAGGAACCAAAAAACTATATCAACTGTATGAACAACGACATGCAGTCTCAATTGAACGAATTCATTAAGATGAACTTATGGATAAATGAAGAGAGAAATCGGAATGTAGGGGTTCAAGAGGGAAAACATAGCAGAGCAAGGCCGGGAGGTTATGACGTCAACCACAATAGGACCCTTCCTCCGCGGTCCTGCCTCGCGTTTCTGACGGGATCATCACGGGCGTTACCCTTTCCTGAGGGGAAGATGCTCAGGAACAAGCCAATACTTTTCTGCCGAACCGCCGTTGGCACTAAAGCACTGCGTAAGGTAAGGTAGGCAAAATGAAGGGTCTTGGTCCAATCTGAGGGCGCCTGCATGGTTGAGCACCTTCACGTTGACCACTCATTGGCGGTGTTGGCACAAAGTACCCTGAGCGCACCGGTCAACGTCATAATTCTGTCAGGATTTCGGGGTCCTGGCCTGATTTTCGATTTTTCCAAGAGGGTCCCCTCCCCGGTCTTGGCGGATTTGGTTGGCTGACGGGCCGTGTTGGTTGGTTGGGGGTCCTATTTTATCGTTATTTTTTCGTGTCTTCCCTCCATGTCCCTCCTAACAGTCGTGCGCCTCACTTGTTTTTTTTTTGCTGAGCTCAGAGGACCCCTGTTTACCGGAAAACGAAACTAAACCCGTTTGTTGCTCCGCCTGGTGGTGCCCCTGCCTTGGACTCTAGTGATACTACCCCTGCTTGGGGTGCGCGTTCCGCGTTCATCGGGACACGAGTAAGGTGATGTCTGTTGATCTGGAAGCAGGTTCAAAGTATGGGAAGTTGCAATGTCTCGTGATTGTTGCAGGATGATTCAGGCGTTTAGGTAGTGAACGTGAAATCTGTCTTGATTTTCCTTGATTTTGCTTCATTTTGCCTGGCAATCGATCCTCAATGGGGTTTTGATGAGTGGAGTGGTTGTGATGATCTTGTAAATTTGTTTTTCATCGATAGCGACTGGATCGAACCAGCGTCGGAAATCGAGCAGGAGGAGTAAACGAGGTAAGGTGAGATCAAAATGCGCTGCATAGCAGAGTCTTATGCACAAATCAGATGCGGGCTTCTGCGTGGGATCGTTAAGAGCAGGTTTGCATCTCCGATCCTCTTGAAGGAAAACAAAACAGCGTTCAGTTTTGGCAGGCTGTTATTTGGCAACCGGTTGGCTCGTTGTTTCAACACAACTATGCGATTTCCAGCAATATCTTCTCATAGACGACATCATCAGTCTATAATGCCCATAGGAAAGGGCTGTTCTATTTGTATAGACAATTCACTTCTCATCACTTGGTCACGTATATTCTATGAAGAATACGCGAGAAGAGATTCTGGCTTCGAGACAGTGGCCTTTCGTTTGAGCAATGAGCTTAAAAAAGGACAAGTGAACCGAGGTCATGCGGATGATTTGTTGGCTCATCTGGGAGTAACAGTAGCGCTTGATGTTTGTGATGGTTACGTCCTATGCGACAAGTCTGACGACACCGCTCGTCTGTTGAAAGATTCATATACGTTCCAAAGCGTCAGATTCAACCACATTTGCTGCGTCTGAGTCTTAGTCAAATCACGAGGTTAATCATTAAATCAGCCGAAGCCGTCGGCTAAAGATGACGATATTATTAGCGAATCGGCGGGCGAAATAGTATTTGCGGCTAGGCCTTAGAAGCGAACACGAGGCAGCGTTCTTCTGTCACAACTTCAAGTGAGAAGAGAGCCGCTCCAACCAAATGATTGTCGTCTCTGCAAGAGGGAGGGTACCCATGAGCGATCCTGTATGGAAGGAGATTCTGCGTTCGTAGACTCTTACAAATAGTGCGGGTTGCTCGCCTGCAGCGAATCCGTCATCCACTGTCGTGAGTCTGTTGCCGCTCGGTATCTCGCTCGTGATGGGTGCTATGTGTCAAACGCATACTATCGGCCAAGTATTCAGTCTGTTCTATCCATAGAGACCAAATCCTCCATCGCCGCTGTCCGCATACAGACACTAAACGGCGCTGCATCCGCCCTTGCCATCTGATTATTTTTCTCCCTACGGTGCCCACTGCGCTCGCCCAAACCCGTCCGACCGTTCTGCTGCTCATCGTCCCTTCAGATTTGCATGAAGCCCCAAAACAAGTCAGGCGCAGGAACCAAAAATCCAGGGTCTTCATTCACTATTGAGATCCGAAACCATAGCGTACCAAGTACGGGGGGGATGAGCGGGACCCTGAAAAATCACGCCAAAACGGGCACGAGCATTTTTCTTCACCCTCAAAACGGAGACTTGCTCCGTTCGTGGCCTTGCCTTACCTTGTCTTCCTTAGCTCCCGTCCGTTCGTTTTCAACGGTCAAGCTAAGGGGAATTAAGACGATGAATAAAAAAATAATCATGCTTACCTTAATTATGCATATCACCGCCCGGCGTGTCGTTTCTGAAGAGGAAAAAGAAAAAAGCACTGACACGAGAAAAAGCAATAGATAACCAAGGTAAGGTAGGAAAAAAAGGTCCCTCGTTGAGAAGTCGTTGGCATTGTTCTCTTTGATCCATTACATAAGACGTCTACGTCCGTCGTCACACAGCCTCCTTTTTCCCAAGCTCAAGCCGCGCCCTCAAGTACGGATACAGAAGAAGGTATAGAGAACGAAGCTCTCAAAATGGAATGTTTCCGCCCAGTGTTCATTATGAGACGTAAAGGTTTACCCAACCCACTTTGCCAGAAAAATCAAACATGCCGTCGTTCAACAAAAAACCACAGAAACGCCGATGCCTCGACGTGTAAACACAGGATTCCGCCACACCCTTATCCCTCCATTTTTTGCTTCCTCTCCTTGGGTTACAAGAGTACAGTCGCTGCCTTATTCTCCTCCCACGATCTCGGCTGTCCAATCCTTGCGGATGTTCAGCTCCGTGAGCTCGGGTGTCTTCTCGATGACGAGACCCTTCTCGTTGGCGAGATGCAGCAGACTGATGAAACAGAAACTCGTGGAGATATCTTCCATCATGGCCTTGGGGTAAACCGAGCCCAGGCCGTTCATGACCTCGGTGAACTTGAGTTCGGTATCCTTGGCGGGTGGCTCTACCGGTGGCGCTGGGGCATCAGGTGAAGAAAGTCTTGTGGAATCCTGGTGGTGGGTCAGCAATAATTCATTCCCTGATGGGAAGGGTGACCGAGAGACTCGACTTACGGCGTCCAGGCCCTCAAGACCCATGCCCTTCCAGATCTCCTCCTTCAAGCGCCTCACATCCACCTTCTTGGCAACACGTGCAAACTGCACATAATCCGGCCGCATGCGACGTGTTTGCGTGACCAGAGTCGTTCCAAAAGCGCCGGTCAGAACATTGGTGGTTGCGTCGCCGCCAAGCAAAGCCGTCATGCCAAGAGCTTCCGTAGCTCCGACGTCGCCTTCGGCGCCGGGCGACAGGTGCTCCCGGGCATCCGCAAACTCGTCGTCGTCGTCATCCAAGCCACCAGCAAACGGCAAGGCATCGTCTTGGAAGAAGTTTGCGTCGTAGTCTCCCTCCGGCAGCGGCTCGTCTTCGCTCTTGACGGGGGCCTTCTGGTTTGCCCAGAACGCCTCGTCCATCTCTCCTTCTGGGACGTCCCTGTCTTGCCCGGCATTGCCAAACATACCGCCTCTGTTTCCGAGGATTCGCCTCCTGCCGAGGCGTGCCTTGGGCTTGAGGAAGAGGTTGAGAAGTGATTTTGAGTTGAAGTGCTTATCATCAGGCAATAAATTGCGAGATTTCGACTTCCAGTCCTTCTTGGGCATGGAGACGGCAGAGTTGCTTGATGCCTGGGTGTACAAGACGTCGGCCAAGGCTTGGTCGAGGGGCGCTGAGAAGTCAATCTCAAAAGGCTCCTTCTCCTTGCGCACCCTGGCAGGACCGACAGGCTTGTTGACGTCCTTGATCTTTCGGATTCTCCAGTGCTCAGCACTTGACCAGTTCTTCTGCAGCGCTTGATCGAAATATCCGAGAATATCTTCGTGCATCTTGTCGGCGCTCTTAGCGTGGGACATGGATACGACGAAATCTCCATTGTCTGGGTCCATCATCTCGACTCCGTCACCGTCGCCAGCTTCCTCGCCTAGGCCAGCATCGTAGACCCGCATTTGGGGCTCAAGAGCGGCTTCCCTGGCCCAAGCCTCACCACCCTCACCAAATGCCACGTCGGCGCCAAGCTCGAAGCCACCCAGTCCAAGATCGTCGTCGTCGAAGCCAGCAGCGTTGTCGCCGTCAATGAACATGCCAGAGTTGTCACCCAGCGAGTCGGGGTTCTTGTCCTTGTCTTGATCACCTCTCCAATCTTCCGGGGCTCTGAGGAAAGGAATATCCATGGAACCAGACGGGTCGCCGAGGTCAAAGTTCTTCAATGATGGACAGACATCAAGCTCGTCGAGACGACCAAGATCGGAGAAGAACTTGGCACCGAGAGCTCCTAGGTCGATTTCAACATCTTCGACGTTCTCCTCCTGCTCGGGCTCCTCTTGTGCTACCGAAGCATCCTGCATCTCTGTGTTATTATCGTCCTCATCGTCGGCGTCTTCGTTCTTCTTTCGGGTCTTTGAGGTGTGTGCGTCACCAACTTCGTC